GGGGGCCGGAGGGCTGCGGGGTGGGACCCCCGGGGACAGCTGCTGTGGGCTTACCGCGGAGACCTGGGCGTGGGGCTGAGCGGGCCCCGGCGGGGCCCCGGGCACTGCTCCCCTCCGCCTCCCTGTCCCGGGAACGTGGCCAGTGGCTCTGGGATCCGCACACCTCCATCCATCCCGGGGGAACGCGTCCCCAGGAGCCTCTGGGCACTGCCCGGCCCCGGGCAGAGCTGGACCGAGCTGCTGGGAGGACCTGAGCCCCCCAGCCTCTGCGGGGTTCGAGCCTGGCTCTGAGCACCAGCCCTGGGAAGCATGATGGTGGTGAAGGGCTGCTCCCCGTGCCAGCGCAGCCCCACGGGGCTGCAGCACAGCCAGGCCTTGGACAGGACCTTTCTTGCACCCACGGCTCGTGGTACCCATCATGTGGGACCCTAGCACCCACGGCTCAAGTACAGGGACTGCCTTGGAGTCAGCTACAGGGGTGTCCTCCCGCCCTGCTCTAGACACCATCTCCCAGCAGCCACCAGACCAGACTGGTGGACGAGACCTACCCCAGAGCTGGAGAAACACACTGGAATGCCGCTGGCGATGTGACTGTGGTTGGTGGGAGGAGGCGAAGGGGAGAGGATGCCCAGAAAGGTGGGTAGGGACCCTGCACTGCTCTGGCCTCACCCCGTGCCCACCCAGCGACCAGCAGGACTATCCCCTGGGGCTTCTCATCAGCCCAGGGTGCACCCCTGACCCTCAAGCGTGTCCCTTGCTCCCAGAGCACCCTGTGGGACCACACTGCTCTTCGGGGTGCCATCCCACTGCACCCCATCCTCCCTGCTGGTGCCTGTCCTCACCTGGGGCTGATCCTGGCTCATGACTCTGGGATGTGCCCCGTGCCACCTACCCGCTGTCCCCTTGCTCACCCCGTGTCCCCCAGCATCCCGCTTACCTGTGCCCTCCTGGCTGCAGGAGCAGGCGGCTCGGGCGGGGCAGCGGGCTGCTCCGGGAGCATCTTCCTGCGGGCAGCCAGAGGAGCGACGGTGAGGGTCCCCAGGGCCCAGGGCCACCTCGCAGCTGGGGGCCCGGGGCAGGGCCACCTGCCACCGAGCAAAGATGCTCCAGGGCTGGCTGCGGGCAACTTTCCCAGGCACACGCTGTTCCCAAGCAGGGGAGGAGCAGCGATGCCCCCGCTCTTCTTAAAGGCGCAGCAAGCAGTGCATCCCCTCCTCTCCTCTCGCCTTCCTCTCGTTAGGCCCCCGCCCCAGCCCCCAGACCTGGCCGGCGGGCTCCAGAGTTCACCGTGGCCATGGGTTTCCCCCTGCCCGGGCTCT